AGCCTGCTTCTCCCTCTCCCACTCCCCCTGCTTGTGTTCCCTCTCTCGCTGTGTCACTCTCTGTCAAATAAATAAATAAAATCTTTAAAAAAAAATGTGAATCTCTTCATGGGGAAATGGATAGATATTACTGTTTACAGCTAGGGTAGTACTAACACTGAGGCAGGCAGGAGAACATAAAGCAATTGTTTCAGGTTGGTAATAGAAATCCAAACAAGGCTATATTTAGTAGCCTTGAGAATGTTTTTCCAATCAAGGACATTATTCTTTTTATGTTTATCGGACACAAAAATAATTTCAGTATCAAGGTATAAGGAGTGGAGACAGAAACACAAAGGCTGAGTTTGCAAAAAAAATAAAAAAATAAAAATTCCCTTAGCAAGAAGACATCTGAAACACACAGTTTTAAGATACTGTGCTCTATAGCAAAAGATGAATGATATATATCTTGCTAAAAAAAAACCCACCTACCAGGGGAGGTGGTTAAAATGGAAACTTTTGATGGTTCCTTATGAGAAAAAAACATTCGCTAACATAATTTTATACTCATAAAGAAGAATAATTTTTTTAATGATATAATCAATCCTTTGGCACATAGTTGTTCCTTCTATCTTCAAGTTGGATTAACTTATATTATTACAGTCTTTATGCTGTACAATGGAACTACCATGAGAAACTGATAATTTAAAATTTTCTAGTAGCCACTTTCAAAAAATGGAAAAGAAACAGTTGAAAAATAATTTTAAGAATGTATTTTTTTTTTGCCCAATGTATCCAAAAATGATCATTTCAACATGTAAACATTATTAATGCCATAGTTTATATTCCTTTTCTTGGGGTAAATCTTCAAAATCAGGTGTGTATTTTATACATTGAGCCCATCTCAATTGTGGGGACCCACAAAGCTCTCAATAGCCATGTATGACCAGCAGCTCCTGTGTTGGACAGCCCAGGCCTACAGAAACTTTTTCCCCCAAAGACTTGAGGGCATACTATTTTTCCTTCAGACCTTTCATCAATGCACTCTTGTTTACATACTCTTGACTTAAAGTGTTAGTCTAGGACAGCATGAACCCGAGCTTCTATGAAGTGCTTGATATATTGTTTGTTAATATAGAATTAATAATTAAATTAAACAAAAAGCAACTTCCAGGGGCCCAGAAATTTCTGAATTCAGGTCACCCGGCCAACTCTTCTGTTTTAGTTCAATTCGTTCAGTGTACTATAAATGACTTCACTGGAGTATGTTTGGTTCAATCTCTCTAAAAGTGATTGTAATCATCATATAATCCAAAAAAAATGCTTCAATATAAACTATTCTACACTTACAACCTGTTGACTGAACAGTTATTAAACGAGTTGGGGACCCAGGGTTTCAAGAACTGGTTTTGTATTTAACCAGTTATAATCGTCCTAAGGACATTATTGAGAGAGCAGCAATTAGCTTCGGACATATCTGGAATCTATGAATGAGCCACTGGTATCGATGTGCCAGTGATGAAGATGAGTCAATGTATTCGGTCATATGTAGCGCTATGTCACAAGGGGCTTTATAGGAGATGCTGGGACAAACATATTTCAAGACACTGATACATTCACACAGGATAACAGGTAAGAATGTGGTATGGTACACAGAGTGGATGCTATGGTTGCTATGAGGAGTACTCACTTTTTTGGATCATTCTGCTGCTTTTTGGCTTGTGCACACCACTGGTGCATAGTAGGGAAGAAGCCACTTGTATACAGTGGAAAAAGTATGTCAACTAATAAAGCGTCATTTGACTGAGAAATCATTGTATCACAGCTGTCACTGAATTAGTTCCGTAAAATTATCAACACGACAGGTGCATTGCATTTTATGAATCAGAACTCTGTTTGCTGATTCATAAACTAGCCAGTACACAACAAGAATATGATGCATCAAAGAAAGCATTACATAATCTTCATGCAGTAAAATTGTAACTCGTACCTCAAAAACAGTCAATGCAATGTTAGATGGGGATTAAAGAAGGAACTTGCTACACACAAATGTTCTGAATATGAAAAAATGGTAATAATCACAATTTCTTTTCTAAGTTAAAAAATCAAAAATAATATTTTGCATTATTTTTTAAATTCAAGCTTAGGTTATAATGGCAATTTTGGACCTTTGAAAGGGATTACTGGAAAGCACATACCAATGCATGGTTTAGGGAAAAGAATTTTGGTTACTGGAACCTGTCCTAACTTGTGATATTCTGAATGATATGTTATAACACAACTATGCCAATGGCAAATCTGGGTAGCTCTTATCTACTGATGAACACGGCTGTCATTAACCAAGGACTCCCAGCTAGTTCTCACCTCCCATAGCATTTACCTGAGGAACTGTGAGCTGAATATTTTGGATATGGATTCTACAAAGGGCAGGAGATCAATGTAAAACTGTATATGTTTTACTATGTAAATTAAGTAAAGAATGGAGACCTTGGTAAATATAAAGCAAACTTCTTTCTAACTACTACTAAGTGTGATTGGGAAGAAGCCTCTCTTCTTTATGGATAAAAAACTCACAATATAAAATTTATCCCAAAGTCCTAGGAATCTTTGATAACTTTTTTATTATTCAATTTTGATTGTTGTATGTTGTTATGATTTTCATTACTTACAACACAGTGTTTAGAATAAAATAAAACCACACATGTTGGCAGCAGCTGGGGATGTGATCTGATGATATTCTAAAAATAAGTTGCCATAATTTAGCTTTTGATATAAATGCCTTTCATGAGGACTGTAAATGGACATGTTTCTAATTCTAGACATGTTCATATAATTGGATCTGAATCACTGCATTTACTATTGCATTACAGAGAAAAAAGAAATGTTTAAGATAACAATCTAATCTAAATTATAAGATAAATGCAAGTAAAAATATTTTTCATTTAAGAATTTAAAACTGATAGTTCCACAGAGTGGTGATGAGTATATTATACATATTTATGTGGATTTTACAGGGTGTTTCAAAAGTCCCTGAGGACATACAGGATTCACAGTCTCAGCATGTCTTTGCATACAAATGCAAACTTTTTTCTATCCTTGTTATAATAAATGCTGAAAATGGCTCTCATGCGCTTATAATAGAGATGATATTTTTGTTGTCAAGGTCACTAAGCATAAGAGGGGTCACAAATGCCATTTTCTGCATGGGGACTCAGGGACTTCTGGCTCATTCCTGTAAATTAGTTATCCACATAAGTATGTATAGACATATATATATAGTATGCATAGTCACAACATAAATATATTTAACATTTAAGAAAATTTAGATATTCTACTGGTAAACTGACATATGTATACAATAGAACTTGTATGTATTCACAGGAATTTGATTTTTTTTTTTTTTGGTTGTTGTTGTTCAAATGTATCATTAACTTGTTATTTCTTTCCCAAAGTTGTTAACAAGATTCCTTTATAAAGAAGCAACATGGTTTACTTGCACATACATTTTTTTAAAACTAAAGTTGAGTAATGAAAATTAATATCCACAAATAACTAAATGATGGAATTTTCCTTTTTTTTTTTTTTTAGCAATTTTGGTTTTCATTTTATATTGTATAATTGTTTCATTGAAACTGTGTTTTTTAAAAATTGGTTCAAGTTAATGTTTTTTTTTTTCTAGTTAAAAATCACAATGTCTGATATATTAACATATGTCAGCTTCCTACAGAAACCCTATGGGTCTGCCCACCTGTGATGTCATAGTAAGGAGGGGCTTTTCTTCAGCAGACTCCTCCCTCGGTATCTCCTTCATCACCATGGCAACAGCCTTATCTGCCGCCCTAGAGCCTTTTCCCTATAACAGTGAAATCAACAATGACTTGTGTCAGGAGAAATCTTTAACTTATTATTACAAGATATTCTAATGTTTAAAGAGCAATCCAACATAAATGAAGAGGTAGGCTGCTGCAAGTGAATCTTGAGGCTTTTGGCTGAGGAGAAAACACACAAAATCTGAAAAGAGATTATTTGTGAACTTTTAGTTAGCTACTTTTTCACCTTTACAGCTGACATATTATATTTAATTTTAACATAGTATTTTATATGTATAATATATTTTAAGGCAATGTACATGACATGAACATAATTTTTTAGTATCGATTTAAAAACACTATGGATTGCCTATTATGCTCATTTACTAATTGTTCCTATAACATCTTTAAGTGTTTTGTATGACACTGAGGAGTCTGAGATCGGGATCAGGATCAGTGTCTGACTCCCACAGAGGGATTTTGCTGGGTGGTCCCTGGAGTCTGTCATTTTTGAGTGGATCGGGCATAAAAAGAGTAAAAGTGTCATAAAACCTCTAAAAATCCTTCAATGGCCTAACATCCCAGAAATTCACCCAGCTTGTGTATTTTGTGGAGATGATATGACCTTGGTGAAAAAATTTTCAACTCTCAATGTTTTTGAGACCAAAAAAATTTTAGTAGAATTTTAGAAATGCCTTTTAATTGGAGAATCCCAAAAATCTAGGTATAAATAAAGGATGATTAATAATTGAAGCACTGATTATATATCCCCACATTTTTTGTATCATACAAGCATAATTTTGGACTGTAAAGGGGTATGCTGGCTGTCTTTTTAGTTTACTAAATTATTAAGTTTTTTGTGAGTAGATGTGGCATAATGGAAAAAACAAAACAAAACAAAATATCACCTTCCCAACCCAATTAGAAACATCTTATACTATGTAAAAATTAAATAATCTTTAAACATTTTAAAAACAAAAACTTCCATTTTCTCAGGTCTCTGGGCAAAGCCTCCCTAGAGAAACTAATTTTATACTAAGAGCACATATAAGCATCTGTATTGTAAATCTACTTAAAATACAAATGTAGCATATAGGGATATCATAGGCAAAGATACAAAAATGGACATATGGGGGCTTGTTAACTGAAAGGGAATTAAGAGCTAGGGTCAATATTAACTGCAGAGATTGATAAATCTTGGTAGTTTCCATGCAGCAAAAAAGGATGGAATTACATTATGATCTTGGGCTCCCACAGGGATTTAAGTATTTAGAAGGTAGGTTTACTCTAGAAAGCAAAACTGTCTATTTTCTCTGGCATTGACTTTCTAAAATGTAATGAGTGGCAGGTTTTTTTTTAATGAAAACAAAGAAACACTTCCTCTATAGTTACTAGATTTTAAAATGTGTGAATCTCTTTACAATGCTGAAAGTTTCTTTGGTTTATTTTGACTCAACAGAACTAGCATTATTGAATGATAATGTGTTATCTCCACGATGGAATATCAACTACTGAGCTTTTATTTAGCACATATAACATAGTAATTTCCATTTGTGTTCTGAAAAGTTTATATGGCCACAATTCTTAGAATAACTGACTTCTGGAAAAATAAAGAAAAACAATGATCTACTGCATAACAAGTTGGGGTGCATAACGATTCCAAGTTTTTTCTTTATGAAGCAATGTGAACTTCCTAAAACAGAGATGCATACAATTCTGAATTCTGGGGAAATATTTATTATGGCACTACTAAACTATTTAACATTTTTTCAAAATATAAAAATTATTTGGATGAAACATTACATACTATAAAGTGATAAAGCTTTAAAAGCTACACTCATTTACAGACTAAATATAGTTTAACAAATATCTTTGCAGCTTATTTTTTGAAAAGAGCAAAATCATTTGTGAAGAATTCTTTCCATGCTCCAAGAAGTTCTAATAATATAGCAATAAACAAAGTGGCATGCTTATATTTAAATTCCTAATATATTTAAAAGAACAAATCTAATATTATAAGGTATAATTTTAAAATAATAATAATAATTCAGACTCTGTTCTCGGGCTAAGAAAAAAAATGTCAATTGATAAGCATCTCAAAAAATTTCAGGTCAATATTTCAATATACCATTTATTTGAAATGCTACCAATCACAAACTATATATAGATATTTTTCACATGTGCAACTATTATAGCTAGAATTAGCAACGGACATGCCATTTCACTAAAACAAAAAACAAAAACAAAACAAAAATTAGTCCTTTCATGCTGAACTCTAGAACAAAGCAGTGGTCAGCTAGAAAGGATGTATAATAAACACATGCGGTGCTTTTTATTTCTTGCAGAAAAACCCACCAAAGCCAGGGTCAGGTCACTTTTTTGAAGACAGTGCCACTTTTTCTTCAAGGTTACACCTACTACCTGAAAAGAGTCATGACACCCATGTTAGTGCCTGCTAGCAAATTTTTTTCTTTATAGCCTTTTGGCTTTTGAGTTATTACCCTGTGAGCCTCGCTTTTTTACAAGTGTGGTACCGTCTGAGAACAGAATGGGAAGGTCTGCCACAATGACATCTCCATGGTTCCAGATACAGTGTCTAAAACCACTGCCAAATCAAATGAAGACACTCATATACCAAAGCAAGATTTCCCTTAGACCATTTTGCCACCTCCACCTGGTATCTTAAAATCAAGCTGTGTTCCTTCTGACTTGTCCCTTTATCTTGTGGGGTAACACTTCGAGAATTCAGAACCTGGCTGATAATTGATTTGGCAATTCATGGAACTCTACAACTTTTGCTTAGCAGCTCTGCAGGGCCCACAGTAATACAACCCATGCAAGTGTTTTCCTTTTTGAAGTCAGCGGCTTAATACATTGTAACAACTATATGTGCATAATTATCTAGACTTCAAGCTCAATTTTCTAAATATAACAACACCAAAGACTCAGTATTAATCTGTTATCTGAAACAACACGGAGACGGCAACAATGAAATACACGCTCAAGCAGATAACTGGGTTTAGATTCCATCAAGCCTGTATGCTTCTATGTAATTCTTAGCAACAACAGAAAAGAACAGAGAAACATTATAAGTCGATTGTTACATTGAGACACCCGCCAGGAATTTATTTCAGCCATTTTCTTTTCAAGTAATACTTCGCCATCACCTTTCCCCACTTCCTTATTGAATTTCTTGGCGATGGTTTTGACTGTTTGGAAAACATCACCATATGGAGAAATTTCTGTTTTTCTTGGTGATTTGCTGTAGGAAATTCTTCAATACTTCTTGGTTTCTTTTATCATTTTGTTTCCTCACCAGTGAAATATATAAAATGATAGCTGTTCTAACAAATAATGATTCTTGAAAATAATCTTTTTATTAACTTCCATTATAAGACCAGGCATAAATGAATGAAACACAGGTAGTATAGTGAGTGATACTAACATTTATTAAGAAAACCCAGTTTTGGCTCACTTCTCTCTGTTAATATAGTATATAAACAACAGAGTACAAAGTACTGAAATCACAGGATCTTCTCAGGCTGTGAAGCTACCAGATGTCTTTGGATGAGGAGGTATCGGCTGCAGGCTGGTCTCATAGGGAGGGGAACTAAATTCTTTGGAGAAGCTGCTATGTGCTAGGCACTCTGGCTAGCTATTTTACCTATTTTTATTTATACGATCGCATGAAAGCTCTGTGGGGTACAAAATATCTTTGCTAGGTAGATAGTGAGGCTCAGAGATGGTGTGATTTAGCCACGGCCTCAAAGCTAGCATGTGGCTGAGCTGCCCCCCAGCCTGTGTGCTTCCTTCTCTCCCACGCCCCCCTCACTGATGGCCATAAATGCAGGTTGTTTATATCACTTAAGTTTTTATTTTATTTTATTTATTATTATTTTTTTATATCACTTAAGTTTTGAGAAGCAGCCACTTCTCAGTATAATCACAGAGTCTGGATCTAAGTAAACTTTTTGAACAATGTTTTCTTCAGTGTGTAATGGTCAGTAAGACTCAGTCATCCATAACTTCACTCATGAGCATACTGGGAACAAATGTTTTTGTTCCTTTTATCCTTGTGGAAAACTAACCTACAGATCTCATGTATATACACTTCTTTTTATTCTGTAGATCTTATTAGGTTTATAAGCTGTAGCATCACTCTAATTCTTATTAAATGTTAACTCAATGTTATTAAATGACATCTTTACTAGGATTTTCCCGAGATTAATTTTGGGTGCATGAAATACTTAAAGTATGCAATTCCAATAAGCAATTTTCTAGTTACAGATTCTATTACTGCTACTATGGAGATTGTAATTTAAAAATTATGTTTATTATTCTTAATCTATCAACAATAATCCAGAGTGTCTTCCTTAGAGATACTCAAAAGAAGAAATGGAAAAATAGTAAATTAGGGTAAAAGTAAAAGACTACAATACTAACATTACCGCTAACCCCAAATTATCTAATATATGAATTTTAAAAATAGACTTCCTTTTGTTCTAATTATAAAAATTGATACGTGCTATTGCCAAAAATTGAGAGAAAGCAGGCATAAAAAAATAAAAATAACAATCCTGACATTTTCATGCATTTCCCCAAAGTTTCATATTTACATATTGGAGATAAAACAGTGTTTTAGGATGAATGTTTTAAGAATAGGCAAACTACCGGGCACCTGGGTGGCTCAGTTGGTTAAGCGACTGCCTTCGGCTCAGGTCATGATCCTGGAGTCCCTGGATCGAGTCCCGCATCGGGCTCCCTGCTCTGCAGGGAGTCTGCTTCTCCCTCTGACCCTCCCCCCTCTCATGTGCTCTCTCTCATTCTCTCTCTCTCAAATAAATAAAAAAAATCTTTAAAAAAAAAAAAGAATAGGCAAACTACCATTAACTTTACAAGTACGAATATATTACATGTATTTCCTCATATATACATATATGCAAGCAAATCCCTGCCATTGACATTATTTTAGCAACACTGTTTGAAATGAAATGATATTCAGTTTTGCATCTAGTTGAAAAATTGTATATCTCATAAATTCTGGACTCTGGACTTAAATGCACCTGCAGGAAACTGGCCACAAAAAAAGGATAATTTCTGACAGCTGTCTCGTCTCTCATGTGCGGAGCCAGGATAACCTTCTTTCACTTGGAAAGGTAAATGTCATGGTAAGTGTCATGCTGTCTTCAAACTCCCAATATGGGAAAATGTCAGAGCAATGCTTCCTAGTATCCTCTGAACGCCAGCGATCCCTGCCTACATATTGTGTCCTTTCCCATTTTCTGTGTTCCTGTAGCTTTCTTCCAACATAGAGGAGGGCTCAGACCATGCTGATTCTATCAGAGTTACAATCAACTCATCCCCATTCCCCTCCGCCAACAGAATATTCTCTAAATGATAAACCTGGTACAAATAGAACTAAATCTGGGCATACTGGTCCCATCCTTGTTTCTAATCATACAGAAGGAAGCACAGATTTAGATGTAAACAATTAGGAAGCATGGGCAGAATTCTCTTAACTAGACATTCATATGTGGAATTCACAAATCATAATGAATTCACTATTGGTCTGGGGATCTGTTTGTAGCTAGAAATAACGTGATTTCTGATTCCTTAATAAGGAGAGTCAAGTTGCAGTGAAGAAATTGCCTCTCTGTTTAAAATAATGACACAGGGCATTTAAAAAGAGGGCTTCTAATTGAACCTCCATTTAGTTCTTCCTTACCATCTTGTTTTTCTTCCACAGCATTGTTTTTCCAGATGACAGGTTCACACTTCTCCAATCACCTATCCTAGGAACTCTAGGAAGTCTTTCATTCTACCATATCACTGTTGTGTCCCTGGTGTCTGTCATGTCAGTGTTTAATTGGCACTTTCTGTTGTACCCTTCCAGACTGCATGTGGTGGGAAGGAAGGAGACTAGGTGGGAGAAAGCCATGGATAACAATCTCTATGGTCTATTTTTTTTTTTTTTAAACGATCTCCACGGTCTTTAACTCTACACCTCTACCCACAAAAGTGACCAAGATTCCAAGCTCACCATATACACATTTACTATCTTTGGCCTGAGTGATTGGTGCAGGGTATATGATGACTTTCCCAGGCCCTAACACTTTTGCCTTCATGGTCCCTTTTCTCCATAAAAGTTAAAAATCTCATGACTGCGTTGGTATAAAGACAAATATAATCCAGACTGGATTTATTATTATACATTTGTTATTCTAACAATCATTTTTGGGGTTCTGTTTTTAAGAGAGATTGAAATTAAAACATTTTTTATGGGCCCTTAAAAGTAGCTTGGGCCCTACGTACTGTGGCCACGGTGACTAATGTCTAAATTGATCCTGGGTTGTCTCTTCTCAACATTCAGTGTGGTGTCCCCAGGGCTGCGGTCCTGTCCCTGCAGTGCTCTCTGTCATCCCCGGCTCCACCCTCCCCCCCTCCATCGTGGCTGTGCCTGCCCTACCAGGCCCCTTTGCTACTGCTGCTGCTCTCTCTACTCTCGTTAGGATTCAGGGAGTCTCCCCTCACACTCCTTACAAATCTTCCTGGGTGCCCGATCAGTAGCTTTTACCTCAGTAGTTCTTAAAACACACTCAGAAAACCTGGAACATTTAGGCCTGAGGCAGAAGACGCTGGCATGCCCAACTGATGTGACTCTGAAAATGTAATCTCTCCACCAGACAACAAGGAGAAGCACTTCATTCTCTCCTGCCTCAGGGTGTGTTCCTGACCAACCAGGAGTACTCCTGAGGAAGTTGAGTCAACCCGTGTCTCTACTTTTATCTAAAAAACAAAAAACAAAAAACCAGCCCTCAATGCCCAGAGTCACCAACTGGTTCCAAAGTATTCCTCGCCATTTTTTCCAATTTCTGTTCCTCAAGCACGGAGCAGAATTGCCTAGTACTCCAAATTCCTGAGTTGTGCATGAAGATTAAGCTCCTCCCAGGGACCTGGTTATAATCCTTATTTTACAAAATGTTTTTTGATTGTGTCTCATCAATGAAACTGCCTTGAGTGGGCAGAGGTCATGCTTACTTCTTTTGAGCCATTTTGCACGATTAGGTATAGCAATAGACACTCAAGTTTACTTAATAAATACAAGTACTGGAGGCCTTTTTCAAATTATTTAAGATACTGTAATCACATAATATGGCCAACTTTGACAGGAAGTGAATTCTGAATTAAATGAAAAGCCTTAAAGATTTAAATAAATAAAAGTTGCAAGCATCTAATAAAAATTCATTAATATTAATAAAGTGTTGCCAAGTAAAGATGCCTAGAATTTGCTTTGAAGGACAGATAAGACTTATTTTTAATTAAAGAGATCCATTTGTCCACAATTTGTCATTTGTTTGTTCTGTTGAGAAGGTTAAACATTCTCCCATCTCACTATCACTGTGTCCCTGAGGCTTATGTAC